GGAACGATTGGTTGAATCGGTCACCTGACATTGGATCAAAGGTACTGTGAGGAAGTAGGGGCGAAAACAATAGCGATAATCAGAATTAATCAGTTTTGGAATTATCGAGAAAACCCTGACGCCGACAGACCCACCCCAGTTTGTTGCGGCGTCAATAAAAAGCAGGGACCCCAGTCGACAGAAATTTGGAGTTGAATTTTTCAGATTAGGGATTGAACGCGGCCATCAGATTACTCGCCCCTTTGCGGGCAGAAGAATCCTCAGACAAGAAATCCTTCCAGCCCAAGTCGAAGACAGGAGAACTTCCAGCCCAAGTAGACGAAGAAGAAGATTGCCTGAAAGCCTGAGAAGAATTTGCAGACAAGCCGAAAGTCGATGAGAAGTTAAAGTTGGGCGCGAGAAAAGAACCCTCAGACAAGAAGAACTTTAGATGTTGGAAAGCCTGAGAAGAATTGAGCTCAGACAACGAAAGTCGATGAGAAGTTAAATTCAGTAATCAATGAACGTGTTTTGTGAATTGAAACAAAAATTTAGAGTTGGTGAAGAAGAATTACAACTCGGAGAGAAGAATCAAAAATAAGAAATTAGCCCCTGTCGAATAACCACTTTTTAAGAAAAATTTTTGAAGAAGTTTGGACCAGCGGGTCGGGAAATGAGAACACTTTGTTTTTATGTAACGGACTTTAAGATATAAAAGGTTGTTACCCTTTTTTATCAAGCAATTTTGTTTGGTGTCGTGAGTTTTATTTTATTTGTGTTTTGCCACCCCGTCGGACTCAAAATCCCTGCTGGTCCGTCTGTTAAGATCTAAACACAGCGTGGGTAGACAAAATAGTATACTTTAGTGACCAGGTATATCGGGGAAAGGCGAGGCTGGTGATCATCTGACCAAAGGGTTGGAGCGGCACGCTTGGACCCAGGAAAAAAAACGTCAAGCAACCAAAGGATCCGACACTAATTTCACATAACCCTTTATAATCAAATTTTGAAATGTTCCTGGAGGTGCATAAGAGGGAAAAAACCGATTTCTCTAAAAATATTACCAGTAATATATATGAAAGAAAAAAAAATTTCATAATTTTTTAGAGAATTTATATCAAGTGATTTATAATTTTAAGAATTTAACAAGATTGTACTGTTAGATCCTTAGTATGTCTACAGAAAACGGTTGTTTCATATCTTTGATTTAATAATTGGGTGTTATTCAAGAGTTCATATTTTCTCCTGTAAAAAGAAAGCAAGGTTCGCTCAGAGAAATGCAGGTTCTGGCTTGTCTGAGGATTTTTCATTTAACTTTAGGTGTTTTTCCTTCTGCCTTAAGTTTCCAAAAATATTTCGAAAGTGATGTCATATTTTGTTTGGCCGTATTTGTAAAGGAGTTTATGTGACTGTAATACCTATCCTTAAAAGGTCTGCTAGTTGACCCCACATACAGCCTAATATCTCTATGGTTCTCATTTGATGAGATATAGCACATACACCCTATGGATTTGGTTAAGCACCTGTTTAATAATGGACATTGATCAGGGATTCTACAATTACATAGCCTTTTTTTCCTGGGGTGTATTAGAATTTGTATTTAGGTTGCATTTATTATCTCTATGAAGTTTCAGTATTCTATTGTTATGCGATTTAATAATTTTATCTAGATTTCTAGAACAGCTATAACTAATTTTTAAGGTATTGCGGTTGAAGATCTGGCTTAATTTACTCTCCGTAGGGAAGTGCTTCTTAATTAGATTTAAGAATTTGTGTCCTAATTTGGTACAGACTAATTTGTTGAAGGGAGGTCTATACCAAATTATTCTCCTTCCTCTATTGTTTTTTTTTCAGAATAACTACAATTTTCTCTATATTTAATTTCTGAAGATCTGTAACCACTGTCGGTAAGGATTTTGTTATAGATAATTTTGTGTTTATCGAATATTTCCTTGCTTGTTTATACGGCGTTCAACGGATGATGGGATATGTTTGATAACTGGCGTTGGGTGATTGGAATTAGGGTTTATATAAATTGGGTTAGCGTTATTTTTCAAGAAGGGTTGGAAATTATTTAAGTTTAAGTTTAAGGTTACATCTAAGAAGTCTACTTGTTTTATGTTAGAATTAATTTTAACCTTGAGGTGTAAATATTTAAATACTCTATGAATCAATTTCCTCAACTTGTCAACTTTGCTTCCGGTAAAATTATTCACTACCATCAAACCATCGTCCCTATAAATCCCTATATTATTTAGACTAATTTCATTGTGAACTGTGAGATTGTATAGAATAAACAGTCCGACCAAGTCCGATGATTGAGCAGAATCCAGTGATCCCTTCGATACATCAAAGTTTTCCCCAGATTTTTTTATCCATTTTTCGTTGTTGTATATCATAATTGATTTCCTGCAATTTAGAATGATGTCGATTTCATCCTTAGAAATATTTCTACAGACCAGTCAACATTAAACACCCAATCCATTCATCACGAAACTGCTATCAACAATCACTATTGTTTCACTCCGTCACCTATATTTTTTTCTTCTCAAACAATTGGAAAAAAGGAAGTGACGTTTCACATACGGCTTCCTACAAACAGGATTTTTCATAACCATTTTCGATTCTCACCCGTCGAAGTGCAGTTGAAATGCACTGAAACGAAGTTGCATCTTTGTAGTGATTAAATGGTTTTGTTTATATGATAAAATTATAATAACAGAATAATTATCGACTACTATCGGTATCGAGCCCTCTTTTGGGTTAATGCTGTGAACGTTGGAATTTATATATTACTTTCGTTCTCATCGCATCGGATATATATATATATATATATATATATATATATATATATATATATAGGATTGGTGTATACGGAATAAATTCCAGTAACCAACAAATACTATTCTTAAAAGAGTGCTCAATACAGAGTAGAGCAAATATAATTATTCATTCGAAAATTATAACATAAATATAAAATAATTACAAAAATACCCATTTTGTTTCAACACTTCTGGTGTCTTATCAAGTGATGGTGTTGAATGTATAATTGTTGAAACTTGACTAATGCATGGAATAATAATGCAACACAAAATGTACTTAGAACAAAATGTATTGAAACAAGAAAGTGTACACAATATTTACATATAGTCTTTTGTATATTCCTGGTAAGACCGTTCCTGGAGAATGTGTTGACTGAGTCGCAGTCGGGTAGAGTCTCTGGTTGAATCTCTTGATTCCTCCCTCTCTTCCCGGTACCAACCATATTTATATGGTCGGTACTCCACTATGCAAATTAGGTGGATCCTACCACAACAATAATAAAGGGTTTTAAAAGGTTCAAATCAATCAGACGCCCCTCGCTAATATAAATTAAATTTAAAATTGGTAATTTTTAATTTTTAATTTTATAGTATAATTTAATATTTATTAGTTATAATGTATTCTATTTTAGTCTAACCCTAACATTAAAGCATTAAATAATTATTATAACCAAAGTTCGTTGTCAAGTTTTTTGAATTCTCGTATACTTGTATTTTGATTGGTCATTCCAGCTTATGTAACAGCGTTTCCCCTAGCGAGGGGTGTTTGATTAAGTTGAACATTTTAAAACCCTTTATTCTACATTCAACATCATCACTTGATAAGACACCAGAAGTGTTGAAACAAAATGGCTATTTTTGTAGTGATTTTATAACATGTTTATGTTATAATTTTCGAATAAGTTATTATATTTGCTCTACTCTGTATTGAGCACTCTTTTAAGAATTGTATTTGTTGGTTATTAGAATTTACTCCGTATACACCAATCCTATACTTGTACACACACACACACATATATATATATATATAACTATAATATATATATAACTAAATATATATATATATATATATATATATATGTATATATATATAACTATAACTAAATATAACTGCACCACATACTTGATATTAAAATAACTGATCCGACGTGCAACTTTCGGATAATAACTGTGACATTCCTTTATTTATTGAACAATTAAGTTCATGCCACATTGACTAAAAAACCTACCAGTACAAAAGAATTCTCCTATTACCATATTAGTACAAAAACGAACAATCTTAAAATTTAAAAATTCAACCTCAGCGTTGCGACCGCACGCTCCAAAAACATTTCTTACAATTAACAATAACACATTTCTAAAAACATTTTTCGGATTACATCTATGTTTTTCGTTGTCCTGTTATTACTGAGAAGTAAAAAACAAAAACAAATCTATTTCCATACCTGAAGATGTCTGTAGGAACAGATGAAAGCTTGTAAAAAAATAAAAAAAGACCTTATGCAACTGGAATTTATTAACAGGGATCATGACATTCATCTACAGGTTCGGGGTTAATGTACTTTATTAAATTTGTTTGCGAAGATGTATTCTCTCGATTTATATCATTAACTTCTATATCTGTTTTTTGTATGAATGATTCATGTAATGTAAATTGAATTGCACCACATACTTATATATATATATATATATATATATATATATATATATATATATATATATATATATATATATAGAGAGAGAGAGAGAGAGATATAATCGTGATTATTTTTTTGTCTTCGAGGTAAAAAAATACTGTTGACTTTCTTAAATGAATAATTTTTGCCTCCTTTTTCTATGTCCAATCCAAAGAACCAGACATTATTCTAAGAGTGGATGGCGTTATATGCGGCTTAACGTGGGGGAAAATATTAAAATCAATCATTTTTAACCTCCTCAATTCACTAAAAGACTTGCTTCAGTTTCGCAGGCCGAATACTGCGAGACATTCATTGGCTGAACGACCGACTGTCAGAACGTATTTCAAGAGAGACGACAGCTTTTTAAGAAAGAAACTTATAGAGTGTACTTAGAAAGTACAACCGCGAGGCTTTTTGCGGTCAAAACCACTACTTACTAGGCAGTGACTAATAGAAGCAAGTAAATATAAAAAAAAAAAACAACAATCTGGCAGATGAGAACGATAACAATATAAAATAGTTAAAGCAAAGCGAAAATACTTAAATCTAGCGAAATGTGTCGTTTAATGGATAGATAAATATTTAGGCAGATAGACAAGGGAAAGAAAATAGAGATAGATAGATAGATATGAACAGACTGTGATAGATAGATAGATAGATAATGAACAGAATGAGATAGATAGATAGATAGATAGATAGATAGATAGAAGCAGAATGAGATAGATAGATAGATATGAACAGACTGTGATAGATAGATAGATAGATATGAACAGACTGTGATAGATAGATAGATATAAAAAAATAAATTGACGAAGAAATTCATTATTGCAGAAATAAAGGAACAACAACAAATAATGATAATAATAATAATAATATTAGTAATAATGGGAAGAAGAAGAAAAAGAAGAAGAAGAGGAAGGAGGAGAAAAAGAAGAAGAAGAGGAAGGAGGAGAAAAAGAAGAAGAGGAAGGAAGAGAAAAAGAAGAAAGATAGAAGACAAAGTTAAGTCAAGAATAGAAAAAGAAACAAAAATAAATATAGGTAACTGAAGAAGAAAGAAAGAAAGAAAGAAAGGAGGGAAAAAGTAAATATAAAAACGGGAGACAAGAATGCTAATGGGATAAATAGATAGATATATAGATAGATATGCACAAACTGAGATAGATAGATAGATATGCACAAACTGAGATAGATAGATAGATAGATAGATAGATAGATAGATGGATATGAACAAAATAAGATAGATATGAACAAACTGAGATAGATAGATGGTATTTATCAATTCACCCACAGGAATTGAATTGAGATAGATATATAGATAGATATGCACAAACTGAGATAGATAGATAGATAGATAGATAGATAGATAGATATGCACAAATTAGATAGATAGATATGAACAAACGGAGATAGATACGGAGAGAATGTGAGAGATAGATAGATATGAACAAAATAAGATAGGTATGAACAAACTGAGATAGATAGATAGATATGAACAGTCTGAGATAGATATGGACAGACTGTGACAGATAGATAGATAGATAGATAGATAGATAGATAGATATGACCAGAGATAGATAGATAGATAGATAGATAGATAGAGAAAGACGGAGAGAGAGATACGCAAACAGACAGAAAGAAGTAAAAAGACAGACATACAGACAGCAAAAAAAAAAAAAAGCTGATGAAAGAAGTGATTGAAAGAAACTGTAGAATTTTTTTTAATTAAAAACAACAAGACCAACAACAAGAAAGTGTTGAGGGGGTACCGGAGCACCCCCACTAGATGCTAAAAATATAAATAGCATGCTCTCTTACTAAGAAAGTGGAAGTTGGACAGAACTTCTTGTCGAACTCAGCTTCAGGGCAGAGATGAACCCTGACGAGGCTATGCCGAAGGTACAGAGTCTCGTATAGGGAGATAGACAAACCCAACCCCGTTTATAGAGAGTCTACAGGAATTTTTGCCTATAGGCTCGGAACGCCCCACGTAAAAAAACGGCCTTGTGCCACGCCCCGCCATGTGGGGTGACTTCGGGTAAATACCGAAGATGAGGAGAACTGAGGTGAAGTTCACGATTAAGTATTTTTCTAGTAGCCTGTGTTCTCGACTGTTAGTACCGTATTATTCTTCGGAATAAATTAGGACTACTTTTTATATGTGTATCGAGTTATCCATTTCACAGTTCAACAGAAAGAAAGAAAGAATGAAAAGTGATGAGAGAGTGACAGAGAGAAAGAGAGAGATACATGTAGATTGAGGGAGAGAGAGAGAGAGAGAAAGACAAAAGAAACGAGTGAAAAGACAAGAAAGAATATATGAAGGATGGACATTAAAAAAGTTTTTGAATGAAGGAAATAATAATAATAATAATAATAATATTAATCAAGTTGCCCAATTTCTGGCTGTATCATCTCACATCTACCCATGAAATTCTTGCTAAAACATTATCAACGCTTGTAAATAATCCCAATAAAATCCTGGAATGGATTACTGAAGGTATTACACACCTCATACCAAAAACAACTGAAACAGACGACCCGAAAAATTATAGACCGATAACATGTCTCTCCACAACGTATAAGTTGCTCACGTCTGTACTGACGAACCGTACTTATTCCTTTCTCGAAACAAACAGCATTCTCCCGCTGGAACAGAAGGGATGCAGAAGAGGTTCATATGGCTGCAAAGATCAACTTCTGATAAATAAAATGATCCTGGAAAATTGTAGGAGACGACGCAGGAATCTAAGTGCAGCGTGGATTGATTATCGTAAAGCCTTTGATAGTGTTCCACATTCTTGGATCCTTAAGACTTTCTAAATGTACAAAGTCTCCCCTGTGGTATTAAATTTCCTTAGGCACAGCATGGGTATGTGGAACACCAAACTATACCTTAGTCACACCGGGGCACTGCCATATCCAACCGTCTGAATATCCGACGTGGAATCTTTCAAGGAGACTCTCTGTCACCCTTCTGTTTTGTCTATCCTTAATCCCTCTTACACATGAGCTGAACAACAGTAGCTATGGTTACAAAATAAATAAGAAAATATTCAATCACCTACTCTACATGGATGATCTCAAACTCTTTGCCAAAGACGACAATGAGTTGAAAGGCCTCCTCAATATTGTAAAAAATACTTCAGTGACGACATAGGTATGGACTTCGGATTAGATAAATATAAAAGTAACTTTTAAGAAAGGTAGAATTACAGAAAGACCCTTAATAGATTTAGATTTTGTCACAAAAGATTAGGGACTGGAGCATGGTGAAGCTTATAAGTACCTAGGAATTAGCGAAGGAGATGGCATACAACACCCCCAAATGAAGAAAAAAAAAATAAGAAAAGAGTACTACAGGCGTGTACGTCTGGTACTAAATACTGAGCTAAACTCAAAAAACAGGATATCAGCCATAAACACATTGGCTGTCCCTGTGGTGCAATACAGCTTTAATGTCCTTAACTGGACCACAGCTGAAATTAAGCGAATGGATGCCAAAACGAGAAAGCTTCTCACTTGCTATCGCATGCATCATCCCAAAGCTGATGTCGATCGTCTGTATGTGCCCAGATCTGAAGGAGGCAGAGGATTAGTTCAACTAGAACTGTCCTACAAAACTACAACAATTGGCCTCCAAAGTTATTTGGAAACTACAGAAGACTGGATGATGGTATGCGTCAAGGAACATGAAAGTAGTAAGCGTTTTTACTCCGTCGTGAAAGAAGCCAACAAATTCAAAATGGAGTTTCAAATGGGCGTAGAGATGCAACTACAGCACAATACACCGGCTGAAACTGCAAAATACCTAAAAAAAGACAGCAAAGACGAATGCAACCGACCAGCTACAGAAGCGATGGCAAGATAAACCGCTTCATGGCCAATACTCTGCCCGTACCAAACAAGCTGACGTAGACAAAACCCGTACCCATCAGTGGCTACGTAGTGCAGGGTGGAAAGCGGAAACTGAAGGTTTTATCCTTGCTGCGCAGGACCAATGCTTGCTAACTAGGAATTATCAAGCACATATACTAAAATATTGTGTCAGCCCAAAATGCAGATTCTGTGATAAATATCCAGAAACGATTGATCATCTTGTATCAGGTTGTACGGTGTTGGCACCCACTGAATATAAAACCCGACATGACAGAGTGGGCCAATATCTGCACTGGAAAATCTGCAACTTCTACGGAAGGAAACTGAAAGAAACTGGTATGAACACCACCCAGACCCGGTTACGGAGATAGGACCTGTTACAATTCTATGGGACTACACAATACACACTGACAGAACAATCAAGGCCAACCGGCCAGATATTGTTATTAAAGACCACAAACAAAAACGATGCCTCCTTATTTATATGGCAGTCCCTGCTGACTGCAATGTATCTTGAAGATATTCAAAAGTTGTCAAAGTACAAGGACCTTGAAATAGAAATCTGAAAATGTGGCATATGGGAACATCAACAATCTCTGTTGTAGTTGGAGCCCTAGGACTGGTTGGAAAAGATTGCAGTAGACTAATTGAAGTGATTCCTGGAAGTCCATGCCTCAAGGACGTACAAAAAATTGTTCTGACAAGTACAGCCCACACTTTACGAAGGGCTTTATCTGTGTAATTTTTTTTTTTTTGTCAGTGGAAAGTGTCATGACGCCATTTCTAACCTTAGGTCCCTGGGAGGGACCCGGAAAGAAATGTGTAAACACCACAAATCAAAGAAAATAATAATAATAATAATAACACATACTGAAAAGTTGTGTTAGTCCAAAATGAAGATCCTGTGATAAATGCCCAGAAACAATTGACCATCTTGTATCAGGAAGCACAGTTTTAGCACCCACGGAATATAAAACCCGGCACGATAAAGTGGGCCAATATCTGCAACGCTTACGGAAAGGAAACTGAAAGAAATGGGTATGAACATCACCCAGGCCCGGTTACGGAGATAGAATCTGTAATAATTGTATGGGACTTTACACACATACAGAACAATCAAAGCTAATCGCCCAGACATTGTGATTAGAGATCGCAAATACAAAAATGTGCCTTATTGATATGGCAGTCCCTGCAGACTGTAATGTATCTTTGAAGATCTTTAAACAAAACTATCAAAATACAAGGGCCTTGAAATCGAAATCTGAAAAATGTGGCGCATGAGGACATTAACAGTTCCAGTTGTAGTTGGAGCCCTCGGATTGATTGGAAAAGATTTCCATAGACTCATTGAAGGAATACCTAGTAGCCTATACCTTAAAGAAATACAAAAAAAAATGTACTTACAATTACAGCTCACACCTTACGAAGGGCTTTATTTATGGGCGATATATTTTTTTCAAAACTGCTCAGTGGAAAATGTCATGATGCCATTCCTGACCTTAGGTCTCTGGTTGGGACCCGGAAAGAAATGAGTATACACCAGAAACCAAGGGAAATAAAACAACAACAATAATAATAATAATAACAACAACAATAATAATTATTATTATGCTAATTTGTGTTCACGTTTCAATATGTAGG